GGGGAACAGATTTTCACGGGGGAGCAGAATTTCGCACAAGACCGGGTAACACATAGCGTTCAAGATGGCGGCGTCCTGTTCTTCAGGGCGCATTTTGACTCTTTGCAAACAGTTTCAGAATGTCTGCAGGATATCTTCGGCGGTAACTACTCAGCACTGTGCTGTAAATGTGAGAAGAGGACATATCAGGTATGTTGGGTAATAATGTGTTACGATGTCCGAGGCGTTTCACTCAAGTAAGCAACTAGAAAGCCGTCATCACTCGGTTCCCCTTCTGCTGCTCTTATCCAAAAGATTATGAAAACGTCAGCTTCGAAAAATAAGACAATCGACAGTAGTTTTCATATATTTTAATGCACATTTTACTTTTAAACGCAGTCAGATATGCAAGATGTTTTGTCTCAGCAAAACTAAACGTTTTGTTAATGGTTGTCAACAGCAAGCCACTATTTGACATTGATTGTTAAGCACTCATGTAGCTGAATTAAAACATAAGTGTGGTGGTGTAAATGCATAAATCCACCGAGTCTTTTGTTCTTTCTTTAGTGTAAATGCCTCAGTGATCGCCCCCATTAGTTTTGTGGGTCAGTATCGAACAGTGCACACATCATCCAGCAGGAGAGGACTGGAAGAGTTTTTTGACTCTCCTGAGAACTGGGGAGAGTCCACTGTGAAGTCAGGTAAAAACCTCACACACACATTTTGAAGAGCATAATTCAATTGTTTGCACTTTTGCAAAAAAAAATAATATGCAAAATTTTCCACATTTATATGGGTTTGCATCACGGCAGACAGCTTTTAAAGTGATTATGAATGTGTCAAGCTGGACTTTACACTCATGTTGTTGCTTTAAGATTTTTTTCCCATGATGCCTGTTGTAATCTGCTAAATTTGTCATTGTTTATTTCATTGTAGGAGCACCATGGACTACCAAACAGCTGAGAGCAAAGAGCAGTGATGACTTGCACAAACTCTGGTGAGCAGTGAGAAGATTGATAAAAGGTTCTTCCCTTTGGAAACATTGCTTATAGCACTTTTTTTTTCTGCCTCAGGTATGTGTTGCTGAAAGAAAGAAACATGCTGCTTACGCTTGAGCAGGAATCAAAAAGGCAAAGGCTTCCGATGCCAAGTCCTGAAAGGCTCAAGAAGGTAGGCGTGGTGCTGAACTGACCAGTTTGCATCTCTTTGTGCTAAAATAAAATAAATGTTGGTTTAATAAGAACTTTGGTTAAAATTAATACTGTCCTCACAGATTGAACGGTCTATGACCAGACTGGACATGGTGGTGATTGAAAGGGAGACCGCACTCCGTCTGCTGCAGACTGGGCAAGAGAAGGGCCGACCTGGAGCTTGGAGGAAGAGCATATTTGGATATGTCTACTGGTGAGGGTGAATTCCCATCATATAAAAACAAAGAGCAAATGACAAACTTTCTACCATAGACATTAAATGTATTAGTAAATTTACATATTTTTGTAATAGCCTTGAAAACAGACTTGTCTCAGGTTGATAAACTAATGCATTAGATCTTAATATAATTATTTTGTAAGCAAAGCTTTTGGTGTATTATCAGGAATCTGATAATTCCCTCGAAAAAATCAGCTCACTTGAATGTTCTTGCTTGAAGGTATCGATTCAGAGAGTATGCGATTCCCTGGTACATGAATAAGCACTACAAGCGCAAGAGGTTTTTCACACCATCATACGTCCAACCATATATAAGGTCAGATATCGCACGTGTGGTTACAAGTTTTAATAATAATGTATGTTGAAGTGGTGATGCCTAAACCTGATGTACTTTTTTTTTTTTTTTTGGCAGGTTGCGTATGGAAAAGCACCTTCGGACAAAAATCAAGAAAGAGAGAGCACAGAAGCAAACACTGGCTAAATTACAGGAGAGGTTTCCTCACATGAAGGTTCCTGCTTCATGATTCTGTTGAGTTTGTACAGCTCTGCATTCTTAATTAGCTCATGCAATTTGTTGAAAATAGTGGATTTGTTTAGGTGGTATTTGGTCCTAAAACAAATTGTTATGCAAACCTAAAATGTGTCTTGTTTTCATTTTAATTTGTAACATATTCTGTGTTTAATATTTAAGACACTGACCCAAAAAGCCCCGTAGAATAAATAACCATGTATTCTGTGATTAAAACATTACACTCATGTAAACATAAAAAACTTTATTTTTAAAAGATCACAGCATGTAGCCATTGACAAGTAAAAATGAAATTAAATACAGAATAATTTCAGGCAAAAGCTGACTTGCCTCTGCTTATGATGGGACTATGTGCTACACAAAAAAGGCAAATGATCAGAAGATGTTTACTCTTCTCCAAATATCAACCCTCTTCACACAATGGTTTATTGTTGAAAAGCTGTTGAAATTCTGTACAACAAAACTTTTTTTCCCCAGTGAAACGTGATCTTTTGATGACGAGGCTTCTGTCAGGGGAAGCGGCTTCCAACAACTAACAAACCTGGCAACAAACATGACGTCAAAAAGACTAGACGTTTTAGACATGAAGAAAAAAACTTAAGAGCATCAATGTTTGACTCCTACAGTGAGTTCCAGACAGGTGTATGGATCAGCTCAATTTTAAAAACGAATCAAACAAAATAAATGCTGAGTGTTCCTGAATCTGGGTTCGAAGTGAATATCTCACGATGTAGCAAAGATGACGATGGTTACGTGGTGCTGGATGTTAAATCAAGGGCACTTCCTGTCCACACACTGCTTTCCTCCTTCCTCATATTCTTGTTTGGAGATCCACATCTGCTGGAAGGTTCCCTAAAAATCAAAAAGAAAAAACGTGCTGTAAAACATTTAGAGAAGATGTATGCGCACGTAAGTAATTGTAGTTTTGTTGAGCCAGGCAGGTGCTTTAATTCAGATGTCAAAGTCATTCTGAATAATTGGTGCATTCTTAAGTGGCTTCTATGTGTTCTTACAAGTGATGCCAGGATAGAGCCTCCAATCCAGGCACTGAACCGGCGTTCCACTGTGGTGTTGTTGGCAATCAGCTTCAGCCTCATACTCTGCAAATAAACGTAGACAGTAAATACACTGGTACTCCTAAATAAACAAAACAACCACACATTCTGAGCTGAATTGACACAACAGTGTTTTGTTTAGCAGTAATTTACCAAGATATTAATTCAGAGAATTTAAGTGTGTTGCTTACTGGAGGGGTTTTCTGGGAGAGTTCTCGGTTCAATCGGTCTGTGAAGCCCTGAATAAGTGTATTTCCTCCCGTCACCACCACGCTGCCATATAAACCCTTAGATAACATCAAAGTTAGTTTTGATTAATATTTTAGAATGATGCTATACCAAAAAATGGCTGCATGCTAGAAGCTACAATTTATTTAGAGAGTATAGACAACCCCATGACCCACTTAGTTCATTTTATATGTACCAACACTTTGGGAACCACAAAGCTAACTTGGAAATTAAACTCAAATGTCTACAACGAACATAAAACATTTAAACCACAATAAAACTTGAAATATCTGCTCATACTCACAGGCCGGATGTCAATGTCACACATTCCTACACTGGTTGTCACCACATGGCCAACTCCTAACATGGTGTTTCCTGACAAACCCTGAAAATAATCAGCCAAAACAATTATATCCACAAGAAGCGGTTTTTAAGAAATATATTTTTAAATTGAAACTAAATATCTTTCAGTTAGAATATGCAGAATTAATTTTCTGTTATTGGAGTATGAATAACGATTACAAACCTTTGCATTAGAGGGGTCAAACAGGCCTTCTGGGATCTTTAGCCTCTCTGCCCCAAAGTCACAATTATAGCCGTTGGGCAGCTCATAGTGAACTGTGGGCATTTGGGCAGCAACTCTAAAAAACAAGAAATGTACCTGAGCATATTTAGCAATATAATGGGATAGAAATGGAATCTAAATTTGTCAAGAAATTCTTGTCTGAAGTTGCATTCCTAAATGTAAAGTTGTTTTTTTTTTTTTAACTCACTGTTCATCATATGGAGAGTCTGAAACTTGCAGCACTGATGCCTGAAAGTCTTGGATAACACACTGCAGAGAATAAAGCAGAAAAATTGTTCACAGTTTAATTTTATTTGAAGAAATCATTGCTGCACTGCAAAACAAACAAGAGTTTCCTGCTTACGTTACACATGTAGTTGTGCCAAGAGCGAGTTACTTGAGGTAATTTCTCCTTTTTCTTCCAGCTGGCTGGGGACCCCTCCCTCACTGGATCCTATAATGAATTCACAAATTTATCAGCAAAGTTGATAAATGTCATAAACACAAAAATAACTCAAATTGTATTGTTTCCCCTGCACATTAACATGTTTACCTTTGATGCAATCATGTAAGGAGGGATTATTTCCACACTTAACTCTTGAAATAACTCTCTACACTGCATGCTCATGAAGTCACCAGCCAGAGGTGATTTAACAATGCCTGGGGAAAAAAAAAAACAATAAGGCAGGACTAGTAGAAATGTAGACAAAAATACAAATGATTATACTTTGTTTGAAGGAGAAAAAGGAGTTCAATTCAATAGTTACTAGCAACTACCGGTAGTAATCTGTTTTTCTTAGAGGTACTGTAAGTGATTTTTTTTCATAATTAATAAGCTTTATGTATAAGGATAGCAGGAGCTCAAAACAATTTATAAAAGCAGTTTTAAGACCCGTGAATGGCCACAGTTCCTACAGTAGAAAATAAAAACATTAAAAAAACTGCCCAAATTATAAGCATTATGAACAAGTTCCTGCAGTTCAAAAACATCTAATGTACTCTGTCAGAATGCAAAAATGTTCATGAATAGAAAATGAGTAAGTACGCTCAGCATCCAGGTAAAAAAATAAACTGTCCACATGACACGATTTAACTTTTTTGTAGTTCATGAATAGATTTAAAAAGGACACAGTGAGTGATTTATTTTTAGCCTATAAAAATTCCATTGAGTTCAATTCAGTCAAGCATCTGCAGCATGTGCTGAAAAAACATCCAGTCCACAGATGTCCCACCTCATAACTAACAGGATCTAACGTATCTGATTCAAGATAGTAATGATGGATGTATACTGAAACAGGCCTTCAGAAATACAGTAAAGGTCCTTTTTCAGACAGGTGAGCTTAAATTTTGGAGATGGGATTTACTCAGTGTAAGGCAAGCGTCATAATATGATTGCTGATCAGTGTACACAGTGTCTATGGGTTCTTCAACAAATCCACCTTTTGCATAGTGTCAATCAAAAATATGACTGGGTGGCAGAAGAACAACAGTCCACAGGCTTTAAAATAGAAGTCCATATACTAAAGGCTTACATTACAATGACTAACTCATCTTTTTGCAGTATCTGGTTTAATAAATTAGGAATAAATTAGAAAAAGAACACTGTTTGATGTTAATGTTTTCATTACAGTACTCATGTACCAAAATAAAAATAAAAAAGTCACTGAAAATCACTTGGACAACAAAATGTTGCATAAAAATTTGCAGAAGCAGTAAATTGCAGAGATAAATTCTCCAACCAGTAGATGGCAACAAAATGCAAAAAGTACTTCCAATATAAATCATTTATGAATGACTTTTATCACTGGCTAACATACACAATATAGTTCTGTTCATATTCATTATTATATTCAAAAACTGAACATTTTAGAACAAATTGTCACCTTGCTGCAAGACATAACCATCATGCACTGGAATTGCTGTGGTGTGTGTGGCTCCACTGTCCAGGACCAGGCCTGTCGACCGCCCATTGGCAAAGCTTAAATATTCAAAGTAAAGGAAACAATAAGGAGTCCAAAGAACAGCACACCAGGTACAGCATTTGTTAGGCAGAGAGGTCATTTCAAACATTTAAATCTAAAGCCGCTATACATTGAGCCGATTATTAAATGAAGCCTTCAGGTTTTGTCAAACCTCTTTCCGGAGGAAAAGAAACAGTAAAGGATACGCAGACAGTACAGCTGATTTACAGAGGAAAAAGGCAGGAATGTTGTAATGTTCAAACATCAGCTCTGTAAGCTTCTCTCTTTTTGCCCGTGTGTTCCACTGCAAACACAAAACAGATGTTAGCTAACTCACAACAAACTGTCACCGTCTGATTCACCAAAACAAATGCATTTTCCATGCAGTGATGAGAAGCAGCACAGGAAACAACACTTAAAAACTTCAAATCACTTTTTGACTGCAGCTAAAACAAACTATCTCATGAGTCACCAACAGCAAGCGGCACGTTGCTGCTAGCCTAAACTTAACACTTTGTGAGTATTGTTTGAACTCTACACTCCAGCTCAAACAAGAGCAAACTCACCGACGCTTCTGACATGAGAACAGGATGCAGGCTGGGCTCTGACTTGAAATGCATTTTGTATGTGTGATCCAAAATGGCCTGGAAACTGTCCCAGTCCTCAACTATAAGTGAGGTAGAAAAGAAAACAAGAATATTTTTAATTGTAAATGTGAAGTCATTGTTAATTCTAATGCTTTGGTGACTACTGACAGAAATAAATGACAATTATTCGTGCTTACCGTGACATGAGATAATCAGTTATTTTTTACACATTTAGATTAGGGAAAATATGTGCAATATTTGGTAAATATTTACACAGATCCCCACATCTCTATATTTTTTATCATCCATCTGACCCAGTCAGGATGAAAAGAATTAGAGCAATGAAGATTTTTTTAGATAATAATTTGAGCACCAGGCACCAGTGTTTCAAGTCAGCCCTCAATGGGCTCTGCTAGTCCCAATGCACTGTCCTATTGCAATTAAAAATGGGTGCTGCATTAATCTCTAAATAGCCTCACATCCAAACTCAAATGGACCAGATTCTGATGAGCTGGGTCAGACATTCTTTTCATATCTGCTGTCATTAATATTTGTAAGACAAGCAACTGATGAGTTTATAAATGCTCAGAAAAAATGCTGAAACCAGCTGTGTATTGTGACAGTTTCACAGATAAAAACTGACAACAAATGGAACAAAAGCAGTCCATCGTTTAACGTGGGTTTTAGGGACCGGGACCACACACCCCGCAATAAGTGAAAAACTGCAAAGTAGGGATAGTAGTACAAGTAATAATAATAGTAGTAGTAGCAAGAAGTAGTTTTAGTATTTAAATATAAATTAAGGTGTTTTAAGCCCTTTCCACACTCTTCAGAATCAACTTTATTGTCATTGCACAGTTAATTACAGCGAAATACCATTCCGTACAGCCGTCTGAAGGATAGACCGAAGTGTACCTTCCGTCTATTTGTATATCCGGAAGGTATGAGTGAGAGTGTGAATGGTTGTTTGTCTCATTTGTCTCCATGTGGCCCTGTGATGAGCTTGGACCTGTCCAGGGTGTCTGTCCCCCACCTCTTGCATAGTGACTGCTGGATATGGGCAACAGTGACCCCCATGACCCAAATAGGAAGAAGCGGGTAAAGATGGATGATTTTAGCAAATTTGTACAACAGAGAAACTGTGATGGGCATTCACAAAAATTCAATAAATAATTAAATGACCATTTTTAGGTGTAATTGTGTCCATACTTTGAGAGCTGCTTAGCTTAAATAATAATCAATAACCAATGATTGATTTTGGAATGTAGAGGAGATATTAATTGCAAATACACAATGACAAGTCTAAACTATAAAACATTTTTTTAAAGATTTTTAAACATTCTGTTTTTGCTTGTTCCAGATCATTTAACTACAATAAACCAGATTATAAAAGTATAGGAGTATATTCCAAAACCAAATAACGAATACTGTTTTTGTGACAGTACCAGTGAGGGATAAACTTTGTTCAGTATCAAGTAGGGGTGTACCGATAAATCGGCCCCGATTTCCTTAATTTTGGGAAATCGGACGATACTTGCATGAGAAACCGATTTCACCAATTTTTTTTTAGTTTTAACAAAAATTGTCTGAACTTCATTTATATTTCAGAGCACTACCTCATGGCCAGTTAAAACAAGTTTGTACTGTTTCTAGAATATTGTTCAAGGGTCTGTTTTTCAACAAAATAAGATTGAAAATTGAAGGTGCATTGTGACTTTTATAACACCTGACAGTGTCAATTATAAAACAAAATAGGTATCGGCCAAAATTGGAATCGGCAGGTCAGACTTTTTAGAAATCGGTGATCAGCCAGAAAACTGCAATCTGTGCACCTCTAGTATCAAGAACAGCTGTGAAATTCTGAAACAAATATTTTGTTGGGAAATTATGAGCATCTGCAGAATGACACTGCTGTAAATTAAGATGGAGAGGGGCTTGGAATGAATTCTATTAAAACAAGGACACTTGAAAGGAAAGCTTATGATGAGGTTTTGAAAAGCTTACCTGTAAAGGCTGCAGGCACCATTACAGTCCAATTACAGATATGGATCAGGCGAACAAAATTTTTAAACTAGTTGCTGATGACTAGACTCATGTTCATGTTTGTGGTGATGTTCAATGTTTTATGTTATGAGTGCTTAGTGTATATTTAGTTGATGTTTTTCTTAGTTCATATCTTAGATGTTATTACTGTTTTTCTTATACATTTTATTGTTGGATGTAACTGGGACCCTGTGTACATAATTTCGCTCCACCACATGTACCACATGAGGTGCGAATGACAATAAAGAAACTCTGACTCTGACTCTGACTCTGAACTTGCGTTACAGACTCCTATAAACATCTGGGTCAACTGACCACGTGTTGTATGTGTTACCTACGACTTGTAATGAATTTAACATCCAAATTACGTTTTCACATTTAAGCACATTCAGCACAGAAAAAGAAAACTGTAAAACTTTTACATCAACTATACGCACTCATGCCATTTTTTAGTGGAGACATGACCTCCATGTTCTCTCTGGGAACCCTCAGTTGATTGGTGTCGATGTAGTAGGTGGTGCCACTCTGCTTGCCCTTGTCACCGTCCGTCTCCATGGGAGTGCTTCCATCCTCCCGATCAATAGTCACACCTATCACTGTGGGGAAGTCCGCCTTATTAAAGCAAAACAACAAAACGCAGGTTATTGCACATTCAAACAAACCACGTTTTATAAATATAACATTACAGTGTCAAATCAATGGTGCCCAACTCATCATTATCCCAAACAGTGAATAAAGAAATTCTCAATTTTTATGAAACACTGTGACACATAAAAAAAAACTTTCTGAATTATATTATGACACTCTATAAAAATTCCTTGAAAACAATAAAAATTACCTAAATTTAATCTGCCTTCACCTATTTATCATGTGAAAACTGCTTGTGCCTTCCTTTTTTTTATTCATTCATTCAACCTTTATTTATACAGGTAAATCCCATTGAGCCTCGAGGACTCATTTACAAGAGAGACCTGATTTCAACAAAGAATGATGACAACAATGGACAACAGCAACAACAATAGACAGTTATAAAAAGGCATAAAGATTTTTTTTTTTTTTAACTAATAAGATGGCTAAAAAAAGAAAAGTAACAAAAAACAGCTAGATTCTAAGGTGAATGTAGAAAACTAAAAACAGGAACATGTCTGCATTGGTTCCTGCTAGGAGTCAGACAGATTCTTAAAGCCACTTAGAGAGGTCAAGAGCTTCAAATCTTTTTGCAAGATATTCCAAGAAACAGGAGCAGAGTAGGAGAAGGCCCTTTTGCCTAGTTCAGTCCGCACTGAGGGAACACTGCAGGTAATAATGTCCTGAGAGCGCACGCTTTTGCTGCACTCACGCAGAGACATGTAGGAGATGTATGAAGGCAGCAGACCAAGAAGTGATTTAAAGATGAAAATGTACCAGTGAGAGAGTCTGTGTGAAGTTAATGATGTCCAGTTAACCAGTGAATACAGGGTGCAGTGGTGGGTACGATAATCACAGCCAGTTATGAATCTTAGTGCACCATGATAGACAGCATCCAACATCCGCAGGGTGCTTGTAGGAGCGTTCATGTAAATAATGTCATAAATAATAATAATAATGTAATAATGTCATGTAAATAATCTTCCTACTTAAACCAACAGGAACTTCTACAAAGTAAAAAAAACAGCATCTCATAGAAAAAAACAAAACATTTATTTGTGAGGTTTTTTTTTTTTCTAATACTAATAAGAATGCATTGTACTATAAGCCAACGGTATCTGACATTTTTCTTAATTCTCAACATCAAAATCCCAAGCCTATAAAGCACACAAATCTAAACCAATGAAGTGTTCGGAAATGATCTGAACTCAATTAATGCTGTCTGTCTCTTGGGTGATGGCCCTCATATTCTGACATCAGTGTCGCCCTCGAAGGAAAAATGAAAACACTCATAGGAAGAAAAAGACACATTGTTAATCAGGTCATTTGGTTGATCTACTTACTTTAGGGCAGTCTTCTCCTGCATAGCCAGCTCTAACAGAATAGGAGCCAATGTCGAACACCAAAGCTCCCACCTCATCTACAAAATGAGACAAGTGTGTGATTTTGACTTACTTTGTGAATTGAACTTGTATCTGATTGTTAAAGTCTATTATGCTCTGGCAAACAAGACTTAGTGGAACTAATGACAGTATGACATGGTCCATAATTTTTGCTTTAAGGGTTAAATACATGTAATGATGCAATACATCTGAACTGTTGCTAGAAATATGAACAAACTAGTGACTTAAAACACTTCTTAATGCACACTCTTGAATATTATAAATGAAAAACAATATTTTTTACTAGTGATTGTAGTTCTAGTTGTGGTCAATTGAAATGAGGTTTTCACTGACTGATGATAAATGAAATTAAGACGGACACTGACTTGTTTCCCCCATGTACAGCATCTCAGAAACATATAGTAACAAAGAAACAATAAAGGAAACATAATACATCCATCCCTGCACTGTTTAATACAGTGTCGGCATAAGTACATTAGTTTTGCATTTTGCATTGTGACTTAATAATAAACTTCAACTCGCACATTTCCTCCATTTAATAAAAATATTCATCTGCAGCATGCCATTGTATGTTTTGTCATTAATACACACACAATTCAAATCCTATTTATGTTAATTTTACATATTCTCCTACTGACCATTTTCAGATGATATATCCACTTAGTCACGACGTAAACACAAATTTTACGACTTCACCGTCTCATTTCCAGTCATGTAATTAAAAACATCATGTTAGCTAACATTTAATAAACCAGGCTTAACGGGACGCTTTCGGCAGATAGCCCACTTTCATTCATTTCCTTAAGCGCCCGCTGCTCGTTTTATTTGACTGTAAAAAAAGAGCTACAGCCTCACTACAGGGTCACTGATAACATATCGCTGATATTCATAAACTTGTGATGACTCAAATGCGAGTAGTAACCTGTCTTTGGTTTAATGTGAAGCTAATCGTTAGCCCGGCTAGCATAAAGAACTACAAACGGCTAAGCTAAGAAGCATCAAGCGTGGTCTATAGTTTACGTTTATTAAAACAAGATGTCTCACTCACCGCCTCCGTACACCCCGCCACTCATTCTAGAAGTATTAACAGCGCCTTTCACAAGAGAAGTTAATTGAGTAGACAATCTCTAAATGTCTGATCACAACAAAAGAAAATTGCTAACGCGGATCAATGTAACATATCCAGGCGCCACAGAGTGACGTGTCTGCTGTCCAATCAGAATAAAGCACAGCAGAAGTACTTCCGCTCTGTAGTTCCAACCTCTTCCTGTTTCTGACTGGACGTGGCCTTGCCGAATTCATACCTGTGTGAGTTAAAACCCCGATTGAGGGTCATCAACTTATCTTATAAGATTGTAAACTAATGTGCAGACAGTGTACGTGCATGTTGTACTGCGGTATGGTGGGATTAAAGTGTACCAGTTGTGATCCGTAAGTCTCGATCGTGACGTTTGTCTTAACAGGCTGAGCTGAGCTACCATGATGATGTCGCCACATGACCTGGTGCAAAATTAGCAACACGTCCACACGTGTTATAGTTTGGAATAAGCAAACACAAAAATAGTCTAGACACTAACGTACTTAAATTAACATTTTGTAGTTAAAATGTCGATATTAAGAGTAAATTGGGGGTGCAGTAAGTACACAAATTTGAACTTATTGCGCAAGCGCATTGGTAAACATTGAGTAAACAGTGGTGATTGACAGGTGTAGGTTCATACCTTGGTGGTGTTTTCTTACTCGAATTTATTTATTTAAAAAAATGTGATCATCTGTTACTGTAAGTGTAGAATTTAATTTACTTTTCAACATGTTTTATGAGGTTTTATATTAAAACATAATCTATCTTAACTTACTGCTCCTAAAGGTACATTTGAATTTTTGAAACACATGTCACACCATCCAAAGTGATTTTTATCTGTTTGTTTTCATTTATCATTATATTAAATAAATGAAAGATATATAATTTAAAAAGTTTTAATTGCAACCACAATAGCCGGGTAATGTTCATATTTTTGTATCAAAGTATTTTGCCATTACTCAAATCTAAAATTGTTCTAGTGATTAATATGTAAATATGTACACTTTAATTAGATTTTTCATAAACAATTGGAAGTTTTTGAAGACTTCTATTTTGTGTGGAGATCTGTCACTAGTTATTCCTGAATACTAACATTTTCAATCAATTTTCATCTTTGTTTCCAGCATCCATGCAGCGCTGCCTGACTCTAACTCTTGCTCAGCACAGCAGGCTCATTTTAAAAAATAAATTTGGAAGCGTCTACTGCCAGCGCTCAGCTGCCATGTCAAGTCTTCTTATCAACCAGCCCAAATACTCCTGGCTGAAAGAGCTGGGTTTGTCTGAAAACAACCCTGGTGTTTACAATGGGACCTGGGGAGGCAGTGGGGAAGTTGTCACATCTCACTGTCCTGCTAACAACGAGCCAATTGCCAGAGTTACTCAAGCCACTTTGGCAGAATATGAAGAAACCGTCCAGAAAACGAGGGAGGCCTGGAAGGTGTGGGCAGATATTCCGGCTCCAAAAAGAGGGGAAATTGTGAGGCAGATTGGGGATGCACTAAGAAAGAAGATTAAAGCGCTTGGAAGTCTAGTGTCTCTAGAAATGGGCAAGATCTATGTTGAGGGAGTAGGTGAAGTTCAGGAGTATGTTGATGTCTGTGATTATGCCGTTGGTCTGTCTAGAATGATTGGCGGCCCTATTCTTCCTTCAGAAAGGCCGGGGCATGCGCTCCTCGAGCAGTGGAACCCAGTTGGTCTCGTTGGCATCATCACTGCCTTTAACTTTCCTGTAGCCGTCTATGGCTGGAACAACGCTATAGCGCTGACATGTGGCAATGTCTGCCTTTGGAAAGGTGCCCCAACCACTCCTCTCACAAGTGTCGCAGTTACCAAAATTGTGGCAGGGGTGTTGGAGCAGAACAATCTACCAGGAGCTATCTGCTCCATGACCTGTGGTGGTGCTGATATCGGCACTGCTATGGCAAAGGATGAGCGAGTGGATCTGCTGTCTTTCACTGGCAGCACCCATGTTGGGAAGCTCGTGGCCATGATGGTGCAGGAGAGGTTTGGACGCAAGCTTCTGGAGCTTGGTGGAAACAATGCCATCATTGTGTTTGAGGATGCTGACCTGAACCTTGTGGTGCCCTCTGCTGTCTTTGCTTCTGCGGGAACTGCTGGTCAACGCTGCACCACAACTAGGAGGCTGATGTTGCATGAAAGTGTCCATGACACAGTGGTCGAGAGGATAGCCAAGGCCTACAAACAAATTCGCATCGGAGATCCCTGGGACCCTAACACCCTCTATGGTCCTCTGCACACCAAACAAGCTGTGGAGCAGTATTTGGCTGCTGTTGAGCAGGCCAAGCAGCAGGGTGGCACTGTGGTTTGTGGAGGAAAGGTGATGGATCGTCCAGGAAACTACGTGGAACCCACTATCATTACAGGACTGGCTCATGATGCACCAATTGTTCATACCGAAACCTTTGTCCCCATCCTCTACGTCTTAAAGTTCAAAACAGAAGAAGAGGCATTTGCATGGAACAACGAGGTCAAGCAGGGTCTGTCCAGCAGCATCTTCACCAAAGATATGGGGAGGGTTTTTCGTTGGCTGGGTCCCAAAGGATCTGACTGTGGCATTGTGAATGTCAACATTCCCACAAGTGGAGCTGAAATTGGAGGAGCTTTTGGTGGGGAAAAACACACAGGTGGAGGAAGAGAGTCAGGCAGTGACTCTTGGAAGCAGTACATGAGGCGCTCAACGTGCACAATAAACTACAGCAAAGATCTTCCTCTGGCCCAGGGCATTAAGTTTGAGTGAAGCTGTCAAAAGTCTCATGTTCAGGGCACCGATGTCAAAGGGCAACACTAAATATTTTTAGTTGTTGCGTTGTAGAACACCAAGGATTTTCTCATTACATCTTTACTAAAATAGGTCTGTTTCAATTAACATTTAAAAATAATTTCAGATGTATTTAGTTGTAATTGTAGTTCTGTATGTAAAATCTTTAAAAATGTTTTGTCCTAAAGGTCAAATCTTGTTCCTACAAAAATATCTGAACACTTTTCTACAAGCACTTAAAATTAAGCTTGTGAGCTTGATGACTGTATCTGATACTTTATACTGTAATTCATAAATCCCACTTTTTTCTTTTTTTTTTTTTTAATAAAGCTGTAATGGACAATTTCTTGACAGACTGCCTGTATGTTTTTAAAGGTACATGAAACACTGGCTGCACCCTGATAACTGGCTTCAAAACCCTCATAAAGAAAGAAAGAAACTTAATTAAATAAAGGCAATGTGCTGACATGGGCTGTCTTTTTTTTTCTTCTCTCCC